CCCCCCCCCCCCCCCCCCCCCCCCCCCGTTTCGCTTTAACCCAGTGCTTCTACTCATACAGGGTTCGAGTATGGTGCACTGCAGGTTCGCTACGGACCCTCAGTCGAAATATCGGCTGATTCCCCTGAGGCTGCAGCTATCCTCTCCGACGGATATAACGCAGAATCCAGAGATACGCAGGCAGTTGTTGAACGCCTCCGCAGGGAGGCCCAAGGCTCGAGAGTGCCTGTTGAGACAGTCCTCGATGCCCTATTCCCTCCCATAGTGTGGCGTGAGGGGGACCGTCTGTTTGTACAAGTATGTCACCGCGCCTTACAGCCGCCCCTGCAAAGCACGCCTTCCGCTGGTGTTACACATGTAGCAACGGTGCTAAGCATCGAAAGCGATGGCCTGTGATACTTACCAAGCGAAGGCCTATGATACCTGGCTTCTCTTTGTAGCCTTCTAGTCGTGTTCTGTTTGTGCTTCTTACTTGTAGCACGTCAGCACAGCAGCAGCAGATCGCGTAGACGTTCTAAAAACTCGTGAGGACTTAGACGTACAACTTTTAGAACGCCGTGCTTCAGAGACTGGAGTTTGTGCATGCCGCTACGACGCAATCCTTCAGTGTTTTGGTGAGCGGCAGAAAAATCACTTGGCCCCTAACTAAATAGTGGCCAATCTGCGACCACGCGCAAATATGAATTAGCCCTCACAAGTCCTCGTGTGGTATGGTTGAGCAAAAACCCTCGAAACGCTTGTTTCAGGGGCTACAGTGTTTGGACGATGCATCGATTCCTGTGTCATCCAGACGAACTCATTCGCCAAGTCGCAATTCTCTGCCCTGAGAGAGCACTTTTGCTATTGAGGTGAGCTGACATTTGAGTGGTCTGAGCTGGCCCAAGACCGTCAGCTGGCGTTTCCCCTGGGCGGTCTCACAAGGTGTCCAAAAAGCACTATGCACTATGTTTACCCCTGGTTCAGCATGGATGACGCATTCACAGCGCCGATGCTGTCCCCTTGCTTATTCCGCAGAGTGAAAGACGAAATTAAGCTTACCATATCAGCTCTCGAAGTACTCTGCAAGAGTTCAATCGGTTTTTCTGCTCTTAAGCAAATACAAAGCCATGCCACGGACTCAGATGTCACTCAGGAGCAGGCAAGCGCTTCCCTTGAAGTACCTCTCTGAATGAACTGTCACGTGACGATGGGGCAAAATGGTTGCGCTGTTCTTGAACGCAGCTCGAAAGTTTAAAAGAGAAAAATGAGGAGTTAAAGGCAACTCTGGCAATAACCCATAATCAGATAGAGGAGCGCAAGGCGTATGTTATTTTAGGCAGCTTCCATATCCACCTGCGGGGCATTCACTGTTGTGATGTATAAGCTGGGATTGTAGCAGCGAGTCGACCCCTGTCGGAATGTTAAGAGCGCATAGTGGGACAAGTACAGCATGAAATATTGCAACTGAACGAGCCAGCAATGGGCGCCTTGCACTTATTGGGAAGTGTTTCCATTGCATTTCTTCTCATATGCTGGAGCAGGCAGATGGCCGAGGAGCTCAATGCGCTCGCTAAACAGCACGCAAATGAGGTGAGTAATTGCCTTGCCCTTGTCAGATTCTTGTCTCCAAGTTCATACACCGGAATTCACCAGATGAGTGCTAAGCGACAGTGTTTTTCACCCTTACCCCGGTTGACAGGTCGAAATGATGCGCCAACAATTGACTGTTCTCGAAACAATCTTTATCAACACCCACAACGCCCGAGGCAAGGTGACTACAACTAGCCAAGCACCTAGCCAACCACTGAGTTGAGCTGAAGCACAGAGACGATCCGTTGCTCGCGCCAGTGTCCGGCACTTCGTCGGGCCGAACTTTTTGCATCAACCGCATGGGCGTCTAGCATAGGTTCCACTAGCTGAGGTGCTCCAAAATCCCCGCGTCAAATATGCGAGTAATGCCGTAAAAAACGCAGGGGCAAGGTAGACCAAATTGCCCTCTCAATTCGCAGCGGTTTCTCTGCCTCCTAGAGTCGTCTTTGTATCCTGAGGACACTCCAGATGAAGCAAATTCTATTGGCGTAGTTTGCTTCACTTGCACTCTTTGGGCACTGCCCCCGTCAACGGGTGGTAGGCACCTTGGGTTTGAACTAACAATGTGGCGGACGCATGCATAGGTTTTGTTTTGTCCCATGGGGGAAGGAAGCAATATATTGCGCAACATCACTCTTATTCTTCTGTTTGAGTAGTGTCGTAAGACTGTCTATGGTAGGCTTCAACCAGCGTGTTGGTGGAATGTTACAAACAAAGGCTACACTATAAAGGTTCATTTCCGTTCAGCTATTTATTCTGCAGCTGGCGAGTAGAGAGACCGTTGGTTCGAACAAGTCACAGACCGGACAGCAGTTCAGAACCCAGCCTGCATGCACACCACCCGTGTAGGAAGACGTAAAGCCTAAAACGATATTATTAGTATACAAAGCCTAATAACATAGAAAGCCGAGTGTCCAATGATTTTTAGAGACTCCTCAAGATATGGTGAGTTGTTGACGGCCTCCTCGTATTGACTCTGTCATGCAATACTCCTTAAACGTCAAGCACACACACACACTTCTTGTCCTTACGTGATACTTCGTAAACTGGTAGTCATATATTTGGCGCGGAGCAATGCATGCAAAATCCCGTTGCCAGTGCCGACCATAGACTATGTTTTTGACACGAAAAACCATGGCAATGGTGGATATGCAACAATTGCCCCTTTTTCATCGACGCTGCTGCATGCGAGGCCTCACGGTTCTTACTGTCGTTGTTGAGTAGCAACCGCAATTCCCGTTGACGTTACACCCCAATTTGGCTCTGACGTAACACCTCTGAAACAAAAAGCGCACTAGAGGTGAGAATGTATTGCCAATCTGCTGGGGAAATACCCCAGGGGCGCGGGAATATATCTTTTATGCCCTTCTCGGTGACGGTTTCCGAAGAAGCCTTGTTACAATTTCAGCCTTTTGATTTCTATGCCATCTGAACAATAACACACCAGGGAAACACAAACTACAATTGGTGTCCTATGCGGGTTCCACGTAAGTCACAGGGATTGCAATGTCAGTGCCGACCTTTGACAGGAAAAGGCACGGCAATGATGGCTATACCACCATTGCAGTCCACCTGCACAGTATAGGTTTGTCAGCATTTAATGAACAGCACACAGCAGATAACACATAGTATATGTATAGAACGCAGGTTTGGTGTCAAGTAAGGACGCACTTCTTGTCTTCACTTAACACTTGGGAAAGTGTTGAGAAAGTAGCTAGAGACATCTGCCTGCTTCCTACTCATGCTATAATCAGCATTCCGCTCATTCTCAGCTCATTCCACTTGAAGAAAGCTTTAGTTCCAGCTCTGTCCTTCTCCCAGGTTCAACAATAATCGGAACTCTCCCTTGGGGTCATCGTAGACTGGGCATCTTCCGACATTCGTTTCGGTTATACTGAGATGCCAACACTGCCGCATGTCCACTTAGTTTGAATCTTGTGTGATTTGGTAGTGTCATTGATCATGGAGTCGCATTCTACCGGGAAAACCAACGCAGTACCAGGGACATACCGACGTACCCATCTGCGCAGGTAGGCATTGATGGGGTTAAGGGAGCTCCAGCAGCAGATTTCGTGTGTAATATTGGGTTTAGTGTCATACTGCAATGGTACGGGGCCTCCACGTTCCTCCAGTTCGCCCCCACTATTCACTCCAGTGGGACAGGAACTAATGAGATAGTGAGACACTCAGCACATTGTAACCATATCCACAAAAGGTAGGCAGACTACAACCCAGCTCACAGTAACTATATCTACACCCTTCTTCAATGCTATGGACATTATGTAGCCCCCTGCGCTCTATCAATTGGTTGCTCAGCTGCAGCTGGCGGAGGAAACGGCCACGGCGTTGGTTGCCACTGCCCTTGGGACCTGGATGCTGCGACTTGGCCAAGGATATAAGTAGTGAAGTCGTAGATATGGAAGGGGGCCTCTACTCCCTTCGCCTTGAAATAGAAACAAGGACGTGTCACTGTACTTAACAACATATGGGATGTTTGGCCACTTTACCGCTATTGCTTTTGGTGTTTGCCCGCTGTTTAAAACAAACAAGAACCCTTGCTCTCTTTGGCGAGGTTTAGTGCAATCTAACTGCACAAATCACCCTTGCCTCTGGGACCGGGTGCATTTTGTTTACGCAGCTCGAAAGGTACCTTCAGCAACGACCCACAAGGGGAACCATGTGAATAAAGAACAGTGATAGGTAGTTTACAGAAGCCCATTCGAGGTAGTAGGTAGGGGAACAAGGATATTTGCCTAGCTTTGTCAACGGCAAATGTGTTGTCTCTAGGAGTGCTGGAGACCCAATGCAGCCCGTGTGCGTTTGAGATGCTTGGCTATGTTGGCGTCATCAGGCAACTCTTTGTGCAGGGCCTCATACAGAAGGAGGGCAGGGCCAAATTGACCCGATTTGCGGAGACAGAGAGCAGCGAGCTGTCGCCATTTGTTTTCTGTGGGCTGTAATTTGGCAGCTAAGGTAAAATAAGTAGATGCTTCCTTAAAGTTCTGGGCCTTCACCAGTTCTATCCCCAACCAGGTCGCCGCATCCAGGTCCCAAGGCCGCAGCCTAGGCAGAGACACAGTACAAGGCGCTCGACAAAAAGCTTTTACATGCAGAAGGACAGCCTGAGGACGTGTGTTTCTCACTGCACAGGTGGCAGTGGGAGCATGCGAAGGCAGACGCCAAGAACAGCAACGACTACAAACGACAACAACTAAAGAAATATACGAAATACCCAAATGCCTCGCGATAATGACTAAAGGCCTCCTGTGGCCGGTCTAAACGAGCACAGAGAGAACCCATTTGGCTCCACACAGCGGCATCAAGCGGCCGAATAGAAGGAGAAGCCAATAGGGCTAGTGCTTCCAGAGCCGAAGACAGTTGCCCTTGCTGCAGTAGCAACGCCCCAACAGTCTACCCGACAAGCGCGTGCTGGACTGCTACACTATCCCAGACGCATGGAAACTGTGCATATATATGTATATATGCACATGCAAACGCACAAACACATACCCACGGAGGCAGACAGACTGTATCGCTTCCGGCCCCCCAACCACTCCAGACACTAAGACACCCACACAATCAAACAACCACACCCAAATACAGCCTAGAAGATTGTGCAGAGGGTGTTTAGGGTTGAGGGATGTATTGCCTCTTCATATATTGTTGCCAGCTGAAACAACGCCTCTGCGTGGCCTGGAGCAAGCGCTCGTAGTCGCCCACAGGCCTCAAGCGCCTCATCGTTCCTGCAGCATTACGGCTACGCAAGCACGCGACAACCCCTTGCATGCAACAGCGGATGCATGCTGTAGCGAGTGTACGCACCCCATAGGCAAGCAAGATCCACCGGAAAAAAACATGCACTAGACGCATGCACTAGCTGCACAGACGGATGCGTAGCAGCATCGACTCGCGGGCTGTCCCTTTGCTCGTAATGTGATGTGGCGGTGTATGGTTGTACATCTGTTCCCCTTGCCCCTCTGTGCTACTGGCCCTTTGAGGGTGTGAAGCCCCGGGGTATTTAAGCCTTTGCGTTTACAGTCCAGGGTTTAATGTTTCTGGTATACCGGCGGAGTTTGCGCCAAGTGACAATGAGGTTATACAGGGCTTCTTGACAGTGTGGGTCGATGGCTGCCGCCTCCTTGAATAGTTCCACAGCCTTCTCCTCGTCTCCTTGGAGCGACAGAGTGCAGCCTTTGTTCACGAGGGCCTTAGGATTTCTCCTGCAAGAACAACATCCGCAGCCCTGCAACAACAGCCCTGCAGGAGCAGCCATTACTTGCTAGGTAGCATCGGAGAAGAGGAAATGAGCAAAACATTCTTGCCAGGGGGAGGCAGTTTCAGCTGCATGCTTGCACTCTCTGCACTCAAGAACGGCAAACGGCATACTCAAGATAACGTAACGAAACAGAATAGAATAAGCCGCCATACTAACAATAGGTGAAAAACGAAAATGATGAAGGGCACATGAAATAGCCTTAAACGGATCGATCGCGCTCGTAGGCACGCCAGGACAGCAGCACAAAAAGAAGCAACAAAGGAAGACGCAGCAGATGGAAAGATAAGACGAGGAGGAAAAGAGAAGGCGAAAGAGCAGGCGAAAGAGCAGGCATAGCCGCCAGGAGAGCTGGAGCCAGTAGAGGAGCAGCATACCGGGAAGGCACGAAGCCTGCAGCAGCAGCAGCAGCACGACCAGCAGCAGCACGGGAAGAAACGACAAGCGCAGTAACAGGAGAGAAATCACGAGGATGTGTGTCTGCAGTTGTAGAAGCAGCAGGACCAACGAGCGAAGAGGTTGCAGCAGACGTAGAAGCACCGGAGGATGCTGCACAGCAGCACGAGCAGCAGCAGCAGCACTGGCAGCAGCAGCAGCAGCTGCAGCACGAGCAGTAGCAGCAGCTGCACCAGCACATGCCCGCTCACCTGTCTGCCTTAAGTGCGAGATCAGCATATTTGTTGGCCTGCTCTAGATCTCCTTCAAGAAGGAACACAAAACATAAATTAATTGAAGACCCCAGCAGCAAGCGCAGTCTATGGGGCTTAAAGCCCTTGTAAGCAGCTACTGCTGCCTCTGCCTGCCCTTCCCGCAGTCGCTGCATCGCCAACTCCAGTTGTAACTCCCCAGCCAGGTCTTCAAACCCTGCAGCAGCAGCAGCCATAACAACAACAGCGTGCAGTAGTCATTGTCAAAGAGTCAACTGTGTGGGGTTGCACTACGAGCATGAATCGTGCTGCTCTAAGCGGTTAGTTTGTTGCTGTACTTGATGCAGCAGCAACCCGACCGCATGGAGCCGTTTGGTCGGCTCTGCTCCTGTTCCGTGGAGCGTTTTTGCTGTCAGGTATGCCTGTGTGCAGACGCTTCTACCCGCATGCGTGTAACCCACCCATACGTACATCCATGCATGCATGCAAGACGCACCATGCTGCAGCAGGGAAGCTATTACGGCTTCGTATGCAGCTTGGGGCTGCATCTCTCCAGAGAGCACTAGGCATCGCGCAGCTTTTAATACTGCCTCGTCAGCCTGAACCATCGCGGCTGCTTCGCTGCCCTCTGCGGCTTCGGCTGGTTCTTCTTCGGCTGCTGCTGCTTCTGCTTCGTCGGGTGCTCCTGTAGAAGCAGCAGCAGCCGAAGCAGCAGCAGTAGAACCGGGGATGGTAGAGGACTCGCCGTCGAACTCCCCAACAGCTTGCTCCGGTCTCCATCCCTCTTCTTCTGGCAACACAAAGACAGAAACAGCCCAAAACGCTAAAATCTACCCGAAGCCTTAATAACAAAGAGCAAAGAACAACACGCAAAAAACAAGACCCAGATATGGCACAGGGGCGCTGGCCTGTTGTAGGCGCATAAACCTAAACCATGAAACATAAACCCTACAACCTAAACCGTAGGATGAGACAAACGCATCTACACACGTTTTAACACATTGCCACAGGTGAGCCTTATCCTAAACCCTCAATCCTACACCTAAAACACTCAACCTTAAGCCCTACAGGTTCAGGGGGTAGGCACACTGAACCATAAACCTATATTGTAGAACTTCTACACAAGCAGCCGCCCACCAAGTGACTGCATTTGGCTTTTCCTGAGGGCTAACATCGTAAGGAAGGCCTCGTGCATTCGCGCGGTGTTGCCGATTGCCAGATAGCAAAGAAAGAGATTAAAAGCCGACGTTCTTGAGTGCACATCCTCAGGTGCCAGCTGCAAGCAACGAAAACTAGAACTCTAAATCCTTAACCCTCAGATAGCAACAAGGCTCGACACAGGTTAGGTTGAGGGTTTAGAGTTTCGGGTTTAGGACCTCAATGGCTTGTTCGTATTCCTCAGCTGCGTCGACGTATCGACCCAAAGAAAAGTGACAACCGGCAACACTGCGGAGTAATTTTGCTCTCAGCAGTTTGTACCCCTGCAGCAGTATGAGTGCACACAAAGCACAGCCCCACTAGGTGCGCAGCGGTAGAAGCAGCAGCAGCAGCACCGACAGCAGCACCATATGCTGCAGGGAGGGAAACGGCAGCAACAGGTGGATGTAACGGATCGCCGTAAACGCATGCATGCAAACAGCAACAGCAGCAGCAAACCGACACGCAATGCACCTGGTCTTTAGTGGTAAGAGGCGTGTTGTCTAAAGCAGCCTTGAATGCCTTCAGGGCTTCTTGGGGCCTCTGCTGTTTCAGAAGCATGCAGCCAATGTTGCCCAATAGCCTGCAGTAGCAACAGTAGCATCAGCAGCAACGACAAGAACAGCAACAACAGCAGCAGAAGTAGCATTTAGCTGCTGCAGGTGTGTGTCTGTCGCTGACGCCAATGCATGTGACGCAGCACAGAGGATTTCCTGCTGCGGAAGGAAATGCATGCAGAGTTCCTGTAGCCCACACATGGAGCTTTGTGCTGTTGCTCATTTTAATGCCTTTTTAATTGTTTAAAGGCAAATAGGGATCCATATATACAAAAAATTCAGCAAAAGACGTAAAAGCAGTAGTGCATGCAAACAACAACACACACATACATGGATATACATAAAAGAGACATACAAGGAGACTATATATGTATGTACATTTACACATATATCGGTATGCATATACGTGAGAATATATTTACACAAATGTACAAGCAAACAAAAGCGAGAAAAGAAGAAATGAAAACAAAAGGAAAAAAAGGAACAAACAAGGACTAAATTGTAAAAAGGAAGAAATACATTTTTCTAGCGGCAGGGAGTTTGTTGTCTGCCAATAAATGACTGCAAATCGCATGGCTTTCTTCGTACAACCCCATCCTCTGCAGCAGCAGCAACGCATGCATGCATGCATTCATTTGTATATAATAAATACATAAACAATAAATAAAAGAATAAGTAAATTACGGATGCGTCTGTATAAGTTATATGTCTTTGTCTTACTTCTAACATTTTTGCTAGATGGACACCGCAAGCCAATTCTAGTGAAAGAATATCCGCCTCTGCATGTAACACCGAACCTGCTGCTGCTGCTGCTGCTACTGCATGTGCTGCAGCAGCAGATGCAGCAGATGCAGCAGCTGCTGCTTCTCGGGCTGCATGCAAGGCAGCTTGGTTGTCGTCTGCTTCAGCTAAAGAGACAGCGCGTAGGAAAGCAGCCCACGCCTCCTTATAGGCACTTATTGCTGCTGCTGCAGCACAGCAGCATCACAGCAACAGTAGAGCAGCAGTGGAACATCAACAGCAGGGTCAACCGCTGCAGCAGCAGCAGCACCATCAGCAGCAACAGTAACATGACGCGGTCGTTGGCTGCTTCTTTTCCTTCTTAGTAACAAAGTAACAAGAACTGTATGCAGATACAGCATCATCCACTATAGCAGCAGCAGCAGCATCTGCTGCGCCTTACCTTCAGCAGCAGCATTCTCGGCATCCACATCTCTTTGGTCGTTAGAAAGGACATCAAGCAGCGGCGTGTTACACGACCATAAAGCATCCCCAGTTGCTGCTGCTGCTGCTGTATCTTGTGTTGCTGGTACTGGCGAAGCAGAGCCTCCCCCGAAAGACTGCCAATAGCGTGGGGAGCTGCCGGCAGTAGCAGCAGCAGTAGCAGCAGCAGTAGCAGCAGCAGCAGCAGCAGCGGTGTTATCTGCTGTAGCATAATTGGCGGCAGCTGAAGGACTTAAACAAGGTAACGAATCCAGTAAAGAGTCTGCACCCGTGCCAGCTGTAGCAACAGCAGCAGCAGAAGGATCGCTGCTGCCGTTGCTGCGGCAGAGGAGACGGGGAGAAGATAAGATAGGCAACACTGCAAACACGGCACACACGCGAACTGCACCCCACTGCTCTTGCTACTGCCCTAAGTACCTATCAACCTGCGCTAGTTTGTCCCCACGATGATGTGTATGAATGGCTGTTTTTATATTACTAATTTACTTATATACACTACTTTTTATTTCAGTCTATTACTTATTAATTCAATTATGTGATGTGTACGCACTCGTGTCTTCAGCTGTCTGTATACTTCGTTGCCTGTTGCGTTGCTCATAGATAAATATCACAGAAAACCAATTAAAAGGGGAAGGAGGCGCTGCTGCTACTGCTGCAGCAGAAGCACTAACTCGAAGACTTGTGGTGGGCAGACACTGCTGCAGCAGCTGTTGTTGCACGCGCTCCTGCTGTTGTGTTGCAGAAATGCAACAGCCCAGACTCGATGTATCGGCTCTTATGTTGCTGCTACGGTGGTGTGGCTTCTGCTGCAGCAGAGAGAACAGCAGCAATAGCAACAGCAAAGGGGCGCAACCTCAATCCCGTCCCGCATCTAACGGAGGTGGAGCCGCGCACGTACACCGAACACAACCGAGTCTTGCTTCCTTGATAAGAAATCCAATGCATAAACAGCTGGTCTAGCAGCAGCAGCAGCAACAACAACAGCAGCAACCTCACCAGCAACTCCAGCACGAGAGACACACCTTAGCAGCTGAAGATGCAGCAGTTGCTGCTGTAGCAGCGGCAGCACGACCCGCCTCAACAGCAGCAGCACAAACTGCAGGAGCAGCTCCAATACACGAATGCTGAGCAGCAGCAGCAGCAGCAACCCCAGCGCTCAAGGGAATAATGGAACAGTGGCGGGTGCAGCAGTGGGAGTTGCAACGGCAGCAGGAGGGTTAGCCCCAATAGAAGTAGGATGAGTAGAGCAGAAGAAGCACATGCAGCAGCAGAAGCAGCAGCTAGAAAGGCAGCGTAGCAGCAGTAGCAGCAGCAATAACAAGAAGAACAGGGGGCCCTTCTTACATCTTTATGATCTGCTTGTGGCGTTGTCTGCAGGTGTATAGGTGAAGTTATTTCCTCCCCAGATAATAAATATATTGTTTAATTTAAATATATAATTATTTATTTTTATTTATTCGAATATAAAATTACACATAATAAAAGAGCCAGCCCGATTGTGCCGCAGGCGGGGGGCTGCTGCTGCTGGCAACAGCAGCAGTAGCGGGCTCGAGCAGCAGCAGCAGCAGCAGCAGCATCACCAGCAGCAAACTTCTCTTCTTTTTAATTGTTAGGAGGAGCGAGCTAATAGGTTAGACAGCAACATTTGGCTCACCGCCCGTTGGTTTATTCCCTAGGCTGCAGCAGTGGTTATGGTCAGCGCCGACGATAAAGGGTTTACGGTTTGATGTTTAGGGTAAAGGGTTCAGGGTTTAGAATAAACGTGTGAGAGAAGGGGGTTTCTTTGCGGGTGCAACGCTACACAGCGGGAGTCTGCTGGCCGCAACAGCAGCAGTACTAGAACAGTGCAGCGACAACTGCTACAACCTCAGCAGCAGCAGCAGCAACAGCAAGAACTGTCTCTTATGCCCGCACACCACGACTGAGAGGCTCTTGGGAGTCGCTGTGGGGTTCGCTTGCGAAAGAGCTGCTGCTGCAGCAGGAGCTGCTGCTCGTCAGCAGCACCTTGGAGTGCTACAGCAGTGGCTACAGCAGCTGAAGGCATAACAGCAGCAGCATCAGCATCATCAGCAGCAACAGATAACCAAAACACGTAAAGGCAGCAGCAGCAGCAGCAGCAGCAGCTACATTGCTGCTGCTGCTGCTGCTGCAACTGCTCTGCTGCTGCAGCGCGTCGCGTTTTTTCGTCCTTTTGCCATTTTAGTATCGCAGCTCAGGAAGCAGCAACGTCAGCATTAGCATTAGCAGCAGCAGCTCGTAAGCAGCATGAGACGCAGCATTAGCAGGAACTCAACAGTAGCACCATCTCCACCAGCAGAGCACCACCGGCAGCAGCAGTAAGAGCAGCAGCAGCATCAGGATGGGTGGCTCTAGCAAAGGGGAAGTAGGGAAGCTGCAGCTGCTGCTGCAGCACGGCGAGCGTTTCTTAGATCTTATTTGTAGTGGATCTTATGATCCTTCTCGTGATGTAGGGGAGCAGATACGGGAGCTGCAACAGCAGCAGCAGCGGCAGATGCACCTGCAGCGACGACGACGTCAGCAACTGGAAGAATCAGGAGGTGAAGAAGAGCTCGATGATCCCCAAAACACCAGCAGCAGCAGCAGCAGCAGCAGCGGCAGGAGGAGGAATAGACTTCGTAGGAGCGATTCTTTGCCTACTTCTTCCGACGACGATACAGAAAAGACAACAGGAGGAGCATCAGGTGCATCACCCCCATCATCCCCACGTCTATCATCAACAGTGCCAGCACCAGGGGCAGGACCAGTAACAGCAGCAGCAGCAGCAGCAGCAGCAGCAACAATAGAATTTCCTTCATGTATAAAATATCCTCCTAAGCCTCATCAAATTGAAGGATTACGTTGGTTAGTCTGTCTACACGATCGCGGACTTAGCGGAATTCTAGCCGATGAAATGGGATTGGGAAAAACTTTTCAAACAATTTCTTTTGTTGCATTCCTTAAACATAATAGGGCATTTAATGGGCCTCATCTTGTATTAGCACCTAAAAGTACTATTGGTAAGAAAATATCTATATACATATATATACAACAACTGCAACAACTGCAACACCGGCAGCAGCAGCAGTATTCTATTAATTGTTCATCTATTGCTGCTGCTGTGAATGCTGTTACTGTTGATTTTGCCCTCCTTCTTGTTGCTGCTGTATATATTGTGGTCGTCAGACTTAGGAACAAAAGAGAGAGTAAACCCGTCCCTCTGTGCACGTCCTTACTATTGCTGCTATTGCTGCCCCTGCTGGCGCTGCAGGTAACTGGATGGCTGAGTTGCGTCGGTTTTGTCCATCTTTGGGTGCTGTTAAAATATTGGGGGAGAAAGAGAAGCGAAAGAGGTTGTTGTTGCTGCTGCTAACTGCATGCAAACTAGTGAAAGAGACGCAGCAGCAGTACATCAACCGCAGGCAGAAGCAGCAACAGAAGAATGCAGCAGCAGCATCCAGGAGCAGAACACAAAGCCCGATGCACACCAGCAGCAGCAGCAAACAACAGCAGCGTGATGCCGAGGAGGCCGCAGAGATGGACGAGGACGAGGAATCCTCCCAACAGCAACACCTACAGCAGCAACAGCAGCAGCAGCAACAGGAAGGAGAAGAGGAGGAGGAGCAGCTACCCGAGGAAGTTAATGTTGTTGTTGCTTCTTATGAAATGCTGATGTTAGAAAAAAATATTCTAAGTCAAATAGATTGGCAATACATCATTATAGATGAAGCGCATAGAATCAAAAATGAAGAAGGCAAGCATCATGCTGCTGCTGCTGCTGCTGCTGTTGTTGTTGCTGGTGTTGCTGCTGTTGCGTGTTCTTGATAATGCTGGTGGATATGCTGGTCGCGCTGCTGCCGTTTGCTCCTGTTGATGCTCCTGCTGCCGGGGTTGTCAGTCTCGTGCTCCTGTTGCTGATGGTGTTGTTGCTGCTCCTGTTGCTGCTGTTGCTGCAGGGAAACTCGCAACGACTGTCCGCCAGTTTTCTTCGAAGTATCGGCTGCTGCTAACAGGAACACCTCTACAGGTAGCTGCTGCCAGGGGTATTGACTGGGAGCAGTAGCAGCAGCAGCAGAATTAACAGCAGCAGCAAACTTATTAGCAGAAGCTTGTGTTTGTATCACAACATCCGAGACGTTGCTGCAGTACGGGCTGCTGCTACTACTACTGCTACTTCAACTATTCTTGTTGCTGCTGCTACTTGTATTGATCTTGTGCAATATGCATATGCATATTGCTGCTGCTGCTGCTGCTGTTGGTGGATGTGGTGCTGCAGAACAATTTAAAGGAATTATGGGCCTTATTACATTTTTTGCTCCCTCAATTATTTGAATCGGGGTCTGATTTTTTATCATTATTTGATTTAAATGCATCAACAGATAAAGAAGGAGTTCTTCTTACGCCACAACAAATTGAAGAAAGAAATCTTCTTATTGTTAAAAGATTACATCGCATACTTAGACCTTTCATGCTCAGGTATACAGCAATCACTGTAGCAGCTGCTGCTGCTGCTGTTGCTGTTGCTGTTGCCGTTGCTGTTGCTGTTGCTGTTGCTGTTGCTGTTGCTGTTGCTGTTGTTGTTGTTGGTGCTGTTCTTGCTGTTGTTGGCGTTGTGCTGCTGTTGCTTTTGCTGCTGCTGGGGATGAGGATGAAAATTGATGCTGCTAATGCTGCTATTAGTGCTGTTACTGTTGCTGCTGCTGCTGCTAATGCAGGCGAGTGAAGAAAGATGTCCTGCAAGAGATGCCTCCAAAGAAAGAAGTCATTTGCTTCATCCCCCTTTCTGGTAATTGCAAAACCCTAAACCCTAAACCCTAAACCCTAAACCGTTAGTTACTTTTGTTTGATATCTGCTTTGTAGGCGCATACACTATAGCACAGACATTAACTGCTGCTGCTGCTGCTTCTGCTGTTGCAGATGTACAGCTTACATGCTCTCCCATTACATAACTATTGCTACTGCTGCTGCTGCTGCTGCCCCTTCTACTACTGCTCCTACTACTGCTACTACTAGTGCTACTAGTACTGCTACTACTTATCCTACTACTACTGCTGCTGCTGCCGTTGCTGCTACTGCTCCTACTACTGCTACCACTACCACTATGACTGCTACTTGTACTGCTACTAATACTACAGTTGGTGCTGGTGCTGCTCTTGCCCTTGTGCCTGCTGCAGATATGCAGCGTACATTGTATAGAGATTTATTAACGAAAAATGTTAGTGCCTTACAAGGAGGCGAAAGTTGCGGTCGATCGCAATTACGTAATTTAGCGATACAACTAAGAAAGGCGTGCAATCATCCTTATCTGTTCGAAGGTAACTTACTACTCTTAATGGTGGTGCTGCTGCCCCTGTAATTGCTGCCGCTGCTGCAAGTGGTAGTGCTGCATTAAATGGTACTGCTGCAAATGGTGCTGCTGCTCGAATAGCTGCTGCTTTGCTCTAATAGCGACAAGAACTACAACTACAACTACAACTAATACAGCAACACCTACAATTGCTGCTGCTGCTGCTGCTGTTGCTGCTGTTGCTTGCAGGATACGAGCCGGCGGATGAAGATCCATTTGGGGAGCACGTGATATACAACAGCGGGAAGTTACGTTTTTGCGATCGTTTGCTGCAACGATTAGTAGCGAGGGGGAGTCGCGTTTTATTATTTTCTCAGATGACGAAGATGTTGGATATATTAGAAGATTATTGTTGTATAAGAGGGTTTGGATATTGTAGATTAGATGGTAGTACTGCAGCAGACGAAAGAGAAAAACAAATTGCTGCTTTTAATAATAATTGTTATGGTGATGACAATGATGATAATAATAATGATAATAATAATGATAGTAATAATAATATTAATAATGATAGTAGTAATGGTACTAAGGATAATAACAATGATGATAATAAGGATAATATTCACGATAACAAGGATAATATTAATAATGTTAGTAATAGTAGTAATAATAATGATAATAATAAAGATAATAATATAGATAATAATATAGATAATAATATAGATAATAATATAGATAATAATGATAGTAATGCAAACAAAGACATTAAGGACCATAAGGAGGTCATGACAACCGCGAACAATGCAGCAAACGGCATAAATAGTATGAATAACAATACGGATACAAATAATACTAATAATATAACAGATAACACAAATAATAATAGTAATAATAACAATAAAAACAATAAAAAAAATAAAAATATATCTATTTTCCTTCTATCTACTCGTGCTGGAGGCATAGGAACAAATCTTACCGCAGCCGACACAGTTATCATCTTCGACTCAGACTGGAATCCTCAGAATGACCTTCAGGCCATGGATAGAGCACACAGAATTGGTACTTTTTTTTGCCCTTTTTTACGCCTTTTTTGCCTCTTTTTGTGTCCCTTTTAGTCCTTTTGTTCTGTTTGTTTTGTTTGCCCTGTCTTTATATTTGGTGGTTGTTGCTTTGCGTGATTGTGGCGGTGGGGTTGCTGTTGATGTAGCCGCTGCTGCTGCTGTTGCAGTTACTGTTGCTGTTACTGTTTCTGTAACTGCTGCTGTCTGCATGCGTTTTGGGGCTGGGTTTTTGCAGGGCAACAGCGGGCAGTAAATGTTTATCGACTTATCCATGAGCACACAATAGAAGAGAAAATACTTGAAAGAGCAAACCTTAAACTGCAACTCGGTAAGCAGCAGCAACAGCAACAGCAACAGCAACAGGAGAAGCAGGACTGGTAGTTAGGTGGCTGGTGTTGTTGCTGTAGTTTCATCTTCCCCAGTAGTGCAGCAGCAGCAGCAGCAGAATCAGCAGCAGCATCTGCTGCTGCATCATGCAGAACAAAATTACCCATACGTTGCATTTCATCTTACCTGTTGTGGTTGCTGCTTTTCCTCCTCCTGTTGCTTTTCCTACTCCTATTCTTCTCCTCCTCTGCTGCTGCTGCTGCTGCTGCTGCTGCAGACACCGCCGTAATCCAACAAGGGCGTCTACATGCTGGTAGTAATCGTGGTGATCTAAGTTCGAAGGCTTTGCTATCGATGGTTCAATTTGGGGCTGAGCATATTTTTAAACCATCAGGAAAAAATGATTTAACAGAAGAAGAACTTGAAGCTATTCTTGCAAGGTTGGATTTGCTACTGCTGTTGCTGTTGTTGCTGCTGCTGTTGTTGCTGTTGCTGTTGCTGTTGCTGGTGGTAGTGGTGGCGGTGCTGTGAATCCTGCGTCGGTCTTTTGGTGTTGCTGCTGTTGGTGCGGTTGTTGTCGCTGCTGCTGACAATTCTTCTCTTGTTGTTGCTGTTGTATTTGTGGTACAGAGGACAGGAGCGGACGGAGCAGATGGAAGCGATGTTGCAGCAGCAGGTGCGGCGTTCTTTGTTGGACTTTAGCAGCAGCAGCAACAGCAGCAGCTTATATGATGCAGATGAATTATATTATCCTGAAGAAAGGAAGACAGCAGATAGAGAGGCATGGCTATCTCTTGCAAGGGAGCAGCAAGCTGCTTCGTCAGAACGAGACAGCAGGAGGAGACTTAGGGCCAGCACATATAAAGATGCTGCTGCAGCAGCAGCAGCAGAGCAGCAACAGCAGCAACAACAACAGCAACAACATTCAAAGGACAGCCGCAAACCCATGCCTAAGTTAATCAAACTTCCCAATATGCAGGTAAGATAGAGATAATCTAAATAAACAATTTAATTAAATAAATTAGTAAACAATTAATAAAAAAATAATTATTTTCTTCTTTTTTCCCGTTGCAGGATTGGCAATTTTACCGGAGGGAGAGAATAGAAGAATTACATGAAATTGATTTACAGTGGCGAGCAACTTTAGGCAGCAGCAGAAAATTAACAGAAGAAGAGGAAGAAGAAAGAAGAAGACTTATTGCTGAGGGGTTTAGGAATTGGTCAAGAAGGGATCTACTTGCATTTGTTAGGTAAGAAATTTTTTGCTGCTGCTGGTGTTGCTGCTGGTGTGCTGGTCACCACCGTGGTGCTGGTGGTGCTGCGATATTCCGGTTACTAGGGTTTAGGGTTTAGGGTTTAGGGTTTAGGGTTTATGGTTTCTATGCATATAGGGGGTGCGAAATGTATGGCCGAGAGGATTTGGATAGAATTGCGACGGAGGTCGAAGGAAAAACGACAGAAGAAGTCAAAAAATATTCTTCTGTTTTTTGGCAAAGATTGGAAGAAATTGGAGACTGGAAAAAACTCGTCAAAAAAATACAAGACGGAGAGGCTGTTATACAAAGAAGAAGAGAACTTGAACAGGTATACATAATATAAACCCTAAACCCTAATAAACCCTAATAAACAATAAAAAACCCTAATAAACCCTAAACCCTAATATTTAGTGTACAGTGTATTATATATATTCATTGAGTTACAAGCAGTAAAATATTAGCAAAAGTTATATACTACACATAATAATAGTACTGCTGCTACTGCTATTGCTGCTATTGCTGCTGTTGCTGCTCCTGCTGCTGTTGTTGTTGTTGATAATTATGCTGCTGTTGCTGCTACTGTTGCTGCTGCAGGTGATAGTTCGTCGTCAGCAGCAGAGTGATTTCCCTTGGCGTCGTTTGCCGATAAATTTTGCTGCTGCAACAAAATCAAAATCTTTCTTTACTGAGGAAGAAGATATCTTCGTACTTAACCTTACTACATTACTAGGTCGGTGTTGCTGCTGCTGCTGCTGTTGCTGCTGCTGTTGCTGCTGTTGCAGCTGCTGGTGCTGTTGCTGGTCTTGTTGGTATTTTTGTTGTTGCTGTTGCCGCTGTTGCTGTTCCTGCTGCTGCTGTTGCAAGGTGTTGCGTGTACTGTACGTTGTGTGCATTTTAGGCTACGGCAATTGGGAGAAACTCCGCAGCCAGGTGGGTCTGCTGTTACTGCTGCTGCTGTTGCTGCTAGTACTGTTGTTATTGCTGCTGCTGTTGTTGCTGCTGCTATTTGCGGTACTGTTCGTGCTGGCTTTCTCGCTGCTGCTCCTGCTGTATTGCTGCTGCTGCTGCTGCTGCTTAAATATGTTGCGCAGCAGATATATTTATATTATGTGTGCAGATATTACGTGACAGCAATTGGGTAGGGGATTGGTTCTTTAGATCGCGAGCAGCAGCAGACTTGGGGCGAAGGGCAGAAGCAATTATTCGTCAACTTAAGAAAGAAGAGGTAAATTTCCTGCTGCTGGTGCTGCTGTTGGTGGTGTTTCTGGTGTTGCTGCTGGTGTGGCTGCTACTGTTGAATGTTGTTGGTGCATCTGCTGCAGCTAGCTGCTGCTGCTAGTGTGGATATTTTATGTTTGCCGCAGGGCGAGAGGTTTTCGCGTGGCCGCCGCCGTTTAGATATGCCGGCAACGAAGCAGCAGTCTCCTTCAGCAGCAACAGGAACACCAGCAGCAGCAACAGGAACACCAGCAGCAGCAACACCAGCAGGTACAACACCTGCAGCAGCAACACCTGCAGCAACAGCAGCAACACCAGCAGCCAACGCCTCATCTACTACAGCAGATGGCCCGTATACCAACAGCGTAGAAAGATCAGGGGGGTTGGAGACACAGACAGCAGCAGCAGCAGCAGCAACAGCAGCAGCAGCAGCAGCAGCAGCAGCAGCAGATACGGACTCTCCTCCGCGCATTGGGAAGACAGAGCAATTTTCTCCCCTCTCTAGTGGAGAGGCAGAGGCAAAGAGAAGACGCCTCCTTACTGGAGAATAAGCAGCAACAGCAGCAGAATCAGCAGCAATAGAGGCTGCAACAGCAATAGCAATAGCAGCAGCAATAGCAGCAGCAGCAAACAGCTGCCGCTGCTGTGGCATATAACGCGGTGCCTGTACAGCAGACATAATTGCTGTCTTTTATTCTTTTTTGTTTTCAATTATATTAATGTATTATTATTAATTATTAATTTTTTTTTGCTTACTCCCTTAATATTCTTTTTATTGTATTGTATATGATGGTGACTCCACCATTAAGTTGCTGCTGCCGCTGCTGTTGTTGCTGCTGTTTCTGCTGCTGCCTCTGTTTAACCCAGAAGAACATAACGCACTGTAGGTAGCTGTGTAGCTAGCTGCTGTGTAGCTGGCTACTCGGTAGCTAGATGGGTAGCTAGTTATGCAGCTAGCTGTGGCTCTCCATACCTCCAGGTGGCACCAGAAACAGCAGCAGCACAGAGAACACGGGGCAGTACGACAGGCAGCAGCGACAGAAGCAACGCAGCCAGCAGCAACGGCAAGCGCAGCTGCAGCAGTATCTGCAACAGGGAGAACTAGGGGGAAGCAGCAGCAGGAACAGCAGCACTGGCAGCAACAGCAGCAGCAACAGCAGCAGCAACAGCAGGTACTTTCGTGTGTGCTTGCTCTATGGGGTTGTCATGGTGAGCCCTTAAGGCCTATACCCAAGCCTCCAAACCCTAGACGTTCGAACCTAAGCTTCAAGTCCTAAACCTTAAACCCTAAACCCTAACACCCTAGACCCTCATCCGTACTGCGTAAGACCTTGAGCCCAAGAACTAAACCCTAAAACTCAACCGTACTATCTAAACCCTAAACCCTAAACTGGGGTTTTGACCACAAATACGAGAAAATAAATGTTGTTGTTTAAAATACTTAAAAAAAATGGACAAGAACGCTTGGTGTGTTAGCCTAGGGAAGGAGAGGCTGCTGCTGCATGCTGTCTGCATGGAGAAGTATAAACCCTAAACCCTAAACCCCTACATAATAAAAATAAAGAATAAAAATTAAATAAATGAATTGTATCTAAATCAATTTACTAAAACAAACTAAAAAAGGGATAAAAGAGCAGCAAATCACATGCACAAGAAGAGGAACAAAGACCGGTCCTAAACCCTAAACCCTCCTCTCTTGCTGCTGCTGTCTTATGTAAAATAAAGATATTTGATCATAATATATAAATTTATTCAATATAAAAAACCCTAAACTGTAAACCCTAAACCCTAAACCCTAAACCCTGATTTAGAGGGTTTAGGGTTATCAAAACATCGCCATCATAGCTTAGTGGTAGAGCATCGGTCTTGTAAACCGAAGGTCGTGGGTTCGATTCCCATTGATGGCTTGTTTTCCTTATAATTTAATTAATTAAAATTAGGGTTTAGGGTTTAGGGTTTACCCCTTAAATTATACTCTTTTATTAATTATAACACATATATTTTATTCTTTTTTTTTTTTTTATTTATCTTATTATACTGGCGGATGTACACACCAAATGGTGGTTTGCAGACACCCACATCAGGTAGAGGCATAAACCCTAATAAACCTTGAACACTAAACCCTAAAACCCTCAGTACAAATTGAACATAAATAAACCCTAAACCCTAAACCCTAAACACCAGGATAAACCATGTCTATCCGTAATAGACACCACCCTAAACCCTAAACCTTAACAAACTCCAAATAAACACCCCCCCTTGCGGCCTTAGCTTGGAAAACCCCTTAACCCTAAACCCTAAACCCTAAACCCTAAACCCTAATATCTTCATGTCTGCTTCTTCTGTGGCGACTTTGGGGTTCTTCTGGTTTGATGCTCAAAAGGTACAGGTGGTGGTTGCTGTACTAAGGACTAAGCCCTTATGCCTAAACCCTAAACCCTAAACCCCAATCCCTAAACCGTAAACACTGTTACCTAAACCCTAAACCCTAGAACCTAAACCCTAAAACGAGCATCGCAGCATTAAAGGGTCTAAAACATAAATCTTAAGTTAGCAGCAGCCACTAACGAAACAACAAAGCTGCACATAGCCAAATATTTGCTGCTGCAGCTGCTGCAGTTACTGCTGCAGCTATCGCTGTTGCCGCTGCTGCTATTGCTGCTATTATTGCTGCTGAATTAATTACGTCAGAGGTCACCAATCGGGCCCTTGGGGCTGCTCCTGCTGCTATTGAGGCTGCTGCTGCTGCTTCTGCTATTGAGGCTGCTGCTGCTGAGGCTGCTGAGACTGCTGCTGCTGCTGCTGCTACCGCAGGCGCCTACCAACAGCAGCACGACGAGAACGTTTAGCAGCAAAAAGTACACCATAGCAGCAGCACGTGCATAACCACTGTTCTGCAGCCGCTGCAGCACAGACCTGCACCAGAAGCAGCAAGAGCAACAGCAGCAGCAGCAGCAAACTCCCACAATCAACCCTTTAGAACATGTAAATGTAGAACAAAGGCAGCAGCAGCAGCACGCAGCAGCACAATGCAATGAACAAAAGCAGCAGCAGCAGCAGCAGCACCAAGCAGAAACGGCAGCAGCAAACAGCAGCAGTCTCAACCGAAAGGAATACCTCATGGGGGCATCCAGACGACTCGCCAGGTGTCCGCTTCTTCTTGTTGCTGCTGTTGTTGCTGCTGCTTGCTGTTTTTGAGACTTCTTCTTTCCGGCACACTCGCCTGCAGCAGCAGCAGCAGATGCAGCAGCAGATGCAGCAGCATTAGCAGAAGAGGCACAGTTTAGCTGTACTAACTGCAGCATGCCCATTGCAGGTACTTACCGTCGTTTGTTGCCTCCCCTGCCTTTTGTTGCTGCTGCTTTCGCTGCTGCTGCTGCAGCTGTTGCAGCTGCTGCTTGTGCTGCTGCAGCTGCTGCTGAGACTGCTGCAACTCTGCCTTCGCTTGTGTTGCAGCAGCACGAGCTTTCCTGCAGGCCAAACAGCAGGGACACAGGGATACAGGATGCTGCTACAGCAGCAACAGAAGCAGCAGCAGCAACAGAAGCAGCAGCAGCAACAGCAACAGCAGCAGCAGCAGCAGCAAAAATGACTTACTCCACTTCACCCTCAAGAGCTGCGATTCGCTGCTGCGTCGATTCTGCAGCTGCTGCTGTGCTGCTGCTCTTTTGTAGCTCTTGCTGCTGCTGCTTCAGCTTCTGGGACATCTGCAGGCAGCAGCAACAGCAGCACAACACACGGCATAAGCAGCAACGCTCATACAGCAGCGCTTCAGCAGCAGCAGCAGCAGCAGCAGCAGCATACGACCAACAGAAACAGGAGCAGCACCATTAGCATACCTCGTCCAGTTGCTTCTTAAGAGACTTTCTTTCATCCTCCTGCTGCTGCTGCTGCTGCTGCAGCTGCTGCTTAAGGGCTGCTGCCTCGTCTTTCTGCTGCTTCAGCTGCTTCTCCAGCTGCTGCTGCTTCTCCTGCTGCTGTTGTTGTTGCTGCAGTTGCTGCTTGAGACCTTTTGCCTCTTCTTGCTGCTGCTTAAGCTGCTGCTCCAACTTTTGTTGCTGCTGCAGTTGCTGCTTGAGGCCAGCAACTTCATCCTTTTGCTGCTGCTGCTGCTGTTTCTGCTGCTCTAGCTGCTGCTTGAGGTTGGCAACTTCCTCCTGCTGCTGCTGCTGCTGTTGCTGCAGTTGCTGCTTGAGACTTTTCGCCTCATCTTCCTGCTGCTTCAGCTGCTGCTCCAGCTGCTGCTGCTGCTGCTGCAGTCGTTGCTGCAGTTCAGCAACTTCCTCTTGCCGTTGCTGTTGCTGTTGCTGCTGCTCCTGCAGCTGCTTCTTAAGGCCCTCCGCCTCATCTTGCTGCTGCTTCAGCTGCTGCTCTATCTCCTGTTTCTGCTGCAGTTGGTCCTTGAGGCTAGCAACTTCATTTTGCTGCTGTTGCTGTTGCTGCTGCTGCTGCTGCAGTTGCTGTTTGAGGCCTTCGGCCTCATCTTGGTGCTGCTTGAGCTGCTGCTCCAACTGCTCCTGCTGCTGCAGTTGCTGCTTGAGGCCAGCAACCTCTTCTTGCTGCTGCTGCTGTTGCTGCTGCAGCTGCTGCTTCAGAGTTTCCGCCTCCTCTTGATGCAGCGTGAGTTGCCGCTCTAGCTGCTCCTTTTGCTGCAGTTGCTGCTTGAGGCCAGTAACTTCATCTTGCTGCTGCTGCTGCTGTTGCTGCAGTTGCTGCTTGAGGTCAGCAACTTCATCTTGCCGCTGCTGTTGCTGTTGCTGCAGCTTCTGGTTAAGGCTAGCAACTTCATCCTGCTGCTGCTGCTGCTGCACGAGCTGCTGCTTCAGGGCTTCGGCCTCCTCTTGTTGCTGCTTGATCTGCTGCTGTAGGTGCTGCTGCTGCTGCTCCAGTTGCTGCTTCAGGCCAGCAACTTCACCTTGCTGTTGCTGCTGCTGTTGCTGCAGTTGCTGCTTGAGACCTTCGGCCTCATCCTGGTGCTGCTTGAGCTGCTGCTCCAACTGCTCTTGCTGCTGCAGTTGCTGCTTGAGGCCGGCAACCTCTTCCTGCTGCTGCTGCTGTTGCTGCTGCAGCTGCTGCTTCAGAGCTTCCGCCTCCTCTTGCTGGAGGGTGAGTTGTCGTTCTAGCTGCGCCTTTTGCTGCAGTTGCTGCTTGAGGTCAGTAACTTCATCTTCCTGCTGCTGCTGCTGTTGCTGCTGTTGCTGCAGCTGCTGCTTGAGACCTTCGGCCTCACCTTGGTGCTGCTTGAGCTGCTGCTTGAGACCTTCGGCCTCATCTTGGTGCTGCTTGAGCTGCTGCTCCAGCTGTTGCTGTTGCTGCAGCTGCTGCATCAGGTCTGCTGCTTTATCTTGCTGCTGCTGCAGCTGCTCTTTCAACTGCTGCTGCTCCTGCTCGAGCTTCTGCTTGATGGCAGCAACTTCGTTGTGCTGCTGCTGCTGCTGTTGCTGTTGCTGCTGCTGTTGCTGCAGTTGCTGCTTCAGGTCTTCTGCCTCACCTTTGTGCTTCTCAAGCTGCTCTTTAAGGGCGGAAAGGTCTTGCTGCTGCTGCTGCTGCTGCTTCAGCTGCTGCTCGAAAACCTGCTGCTGCTGCAGCAGACTTTCAACCTGCTGGTGCAGCTGCTGCTTCTCTTGCTGCGCTGCCTCAGCAGCAGCAGCAGAGGCCTCCCGCTGCTCCGCCTCCTGCAAGGCCACAACAGCAGACAGAGCAGCAGATATATAGCAGCATAACAGCAGCAGACTGAGCAACAAATACAGCAGCATAAGGAGCAGCAGATGCAGCAGCAGATGCAGCAGCAACCTATGTAATGCCTACGCGTTTAAGGTCTTCTTTGAATGCTAGTAATTGCTGCTGCTGCTGCTGATATTGCTGCTGCTGTTGCTGCAGCTCCTCCCCCAAGGCTTCACACTTCTTAGCAGCTGTCCTCAGCTCATCCCTGCAGCAGCAGCAGCAGCAACAACAACAACAGCAGCAACAGAAGCAGAAGCAACAAATTCACAACACCTGTTTTAGTAAGTGCAGGGAGACAGACCCAACAGCAGCAGCAAAGGGGGTAGCAGCAGCAGCAAAGGGGCAACATACTCTGCTGCAGTGTGCTGCCGCTGCAGCTGCGCATGCTGCTGCTGCAGCTCTTCTAGCTGTCTCTCTGTTGCTTCTCTAGTTGCTGCAGAGTCCTGCAGCAACAGCAGCAACAGCAGCAACAACAGATAGCACAGCGTGGGCGGTGCAAAACGCAACAACAACAACAGCAGCAGCAGCATCAGTAGCAGCAGCAGGAGTACCAAGAGCAGCAGCAGCAGAAGGGGACTATAGAAGCAAGCAGCAGAGTGCTGCTGCTGCTGCTGCTGCTGCTGCAGAGTCTTACCTCTTGCTGCTTCTGGTGCTTTAGCAGCTCCTGCTCCTTATCAAGACGTTGCTGCTGCTCCTGCTGCAGTTGCTGCTGCAGCGAGCCAACCTCCTGAATTGCAGCAGCAGCAACAAGAATAAGAGGACATAATTCCTCCTGTTAATTATGTCCTCTTATTCTTGAGGAGCAGCACGAACACAGCAGCAGCAGGGACAGCAGTAGCAAGAGCAGCAGCAACAGCAGCAACATACCTGTTTGAGCTCTAAGATAGCCTGCTCGTGCTGCTGCTGCTGCTGCTGCAGCTCATCTGAATGTGACGACCTTAGGCGCTGCAGTGCTGCTGTTGCTTGTCTTGCAATTCTTTCCTCCCTCTCCCTCATCTCCTGCCTCTCCTGCTCGTGCTGCTGCTGCTGCTGCAGCTGTGCTGCAGCAAATGCCTCACGCTCCTGCTGCAGCTGCTCCTGCAACCGCTGCATAGATGCACTCTCATTCCCATTCTGCTGCTTCTGCTGCTTCTGCTGCTGCTTTTTCCTCTGCTGCTGCTTCTGCTGCTGCTGCTCCTGCTCTATTCGCTCTGCAGCAGCCTCAAACATGTTAGCCGGGGATTCCTCGGTGCTGCTGCCGCTGCTGCTGCTGCTGCTGCCCTTATTTGGAAGTGCAGGCTCAGATGCTGCTGCTGCTGCTGGTGTTGCTGCTGCTGTTGCTGGCGTTTCTGCTGCTGCTTCTGCAGGAGTGTTGCCCTTTGCTCCACACTCCGTCGGGGTGTCCTTAGAAGATAGAGTAGGACTCATTGTTGCTGCTGCTGTTGCTGCTGCTGTTGTTGCTGCTGGTGATATTGGTGCTGCTGCTGCTTCTGCTCGTGCTGTTGCTCGTGCTACTGGTGCTGTTGGTGCTCCTGCTGCTGCTGCTGTTGTTGGTGCTGCTGCTCGTCAATGTGTATAAAAGAAGCCTCAGAAAAGGCTAAAGGAATCCTCGCCCTAAACCCTAAACCCTAAACCCTAGTCCCCAAACCCTAAACCCTAAACCCTAAACCCTAAACCCTGAACCCCAGACACACAGACACAAAGGGGGGGCAGATTAAACAGAGGAGATTTCTTTTCTTGTGATCATTTATTTGCTGTAGAAGCCGCCGATGCTACCCCTGCAGCATGCCTATGGATCTAACTCGCAGTTGCTGCTGCTGCTGCTGCTGCTGCGCTGCTGCTGCTGCTGCTGCTGCTGCTGCTGCTACTGCTGCTGCTTGTCTTCGGGTGTTGAATTCTGTCTAAAGTTCATAATTGGATATTTCTTAGATCTTCAGCAAATGAAGACACACATTTACATAAAAAGGCCGAAAATACTGCACTCCCCTTTGCTGCAGCAGCAGCAGCAGCAGCAGCTGCAGCAGCAGCAGCAGCAGCAGCAGCAGGCGGCTGCATGCAGCCAGCGCGTTCCTGCAGCTCGATTGTCCTTAGCAGCCGTAGCAGCAGTAACAGCAGCAAATTTGCTGCATGGAAATATCTGGGGCTCTCTGTGGTCTACTTGTGTGTCTTGTATGAGGGTTTCCCTTCAAGGGCAGCAGCAGCAGCAGCAGGAGGAGGAGCAGGTGGAGCAGGAGGAGCAAGAGCACCAGCAGCCGGCGCGGGGTCCTACTGCAGCAAACCCCAGGGACACGGCAGCAGAGTGCATGCAGAAAGTACTTGCAACTGCTGCACTGCTGGCGTAGATCTGGGGCTCTGCAGCAGCAGCAGCAGCAGGAACAGCCCTAGCCCAGGAGCAGCCTCAGCAACAGCAGCAGCAGTTGAGGCAGACGCAGCAGCACCAGCTGCTGCAGCAATTGCCTCTGCAGCCGCTTAGTGTCGGAGAGCGCCAGAGCAGGCAGCAGCAGCAGGAGCAAGAAGAGCAGCAGCAGCGGCAGCAGCAGCACTGGGTCTCCGTGCATTCTTGACAGTGGCAAATGCATGCAGGTTTACAGCT